CAGAATGAGTGTTGCAAGTGCTTCACTTTCAAGATCTTCAGCAACAATTAGTAAAGGCCTTTGCTTCTGGAGAAACACAACATATTTTTTTATGAATGTGATAACATGATTTACATTATATTGGCAATTTTCCTCGGATAGAACCACTCACTGTCAAGGACAATTCCAAAAATTTAACCAAAGCAGACAAATTTGAGATCTTCTTCTCATGGATCAAAATGAGTGGATTCTCCAATTCCTACCAAAATAACATCAAAAGCTTGTCAAATGAATATGATGTTTATATGGCAAACTAGAAGCAATGCCCCAATTTTTCCTGGCAATACAATGCCAAGGAACCACCAAATATTATAAACCAAAACATACTTACACAATTTTGGTTCTTCTGGTTAGTGATAAAGTAAGGGGATATGTAGCCCCTGTCAAGCTTCATTCCCTCAACAACCTCCAATTCATTGTACAAGGTTTTCCCATCCTGAAAACAATTTAAGGGAGACAGAAAGTAAACATACCTGAAATTCTGAATAACTCAAATCCAATCAGACAGAAAATGGCACAGTAAATAAAGAACTTCACCCAAGTAACAGAAAGAGACAAAAGGAAAAGAATCAAAGAAACGACTTACAGCAATGGTAATAACACCTTCTTTTCCAACTTTCTCCATAGCCTTGGCAATGAGCTCTCCAATCTCCCTTTCTCCATTTGCAGATATTGTTCCAACCTTCAGTGGAAACAATAGTATGAGTAATATTTAATATACAAAACACTGGATCAATTATAGTGGTCCGGTCTATCAAGCTGTCCAGTCTTAGAAAAAAGGCTGCTTTCGTCAAAGCAAACCTGTGCAATTTCCTCAGATGTGCTGATCATCCGTGCTCTGCTCTTCAAATTTGTCACAACTGCATCAACTGCCATTGTAATTCCCCGTCTAAGGTCCATGGCATTCATTCCAGCGGCTACTGACTTGCAACCTTCAACAAATATTGCCCGGGTGAGCACTGTTGCACAAGTGGTTCCTGCAAATAACACAAGCTTTACATCAGTAAATTATCCCATGTCATCAAGGTTTCCATTATGCTTATGAAAATCCAGATTGTCCCATATTTCCTACATCTACTCTGGTGTCACATCGCAACAAAAATGAAGTCTTCTGTCATTGAATTCAAGCTCATAACTCTAAGGTCAAAAATGGAGGTCTTTCCTATGGTTTTCATACAAGCGATTAGGAAAGGATAAAACATCAACATTACCAACATGATTCACTAAAATTGTAAGCTACTATAACATATGAACCTCACCATCCCCAGCAACATCATTAGTGGCATTTGCAACCTGCTTTACAAGAGATGCGCCGATGTTTTTAACTTTGTCTTTAAATTCAATGCTCTTGGCTACAGTAACACCATCTTTTGTCACCTTAGGGGCTCCAAAACTTTGTTCCAAAACAACATTACGCCCCTGTGAAAAAGTTAATAAAAAAACAGCAACTTTAGTTTAAAATCTACCAAAGCACAAACCCATCACTGGAAGTGAAGCCATTATATCTCCCCACATATGTATGTGTTCATATGCATATAAACAAATCCGTTAGACCAGGAAAAATGCTTAGCCAAATAATATAGAATCTTTAACTCATTAAAAGCAGTTAAAAGGACCCTTCATGGTCCTAATCCCAGTACAAAAATTTTTCACAATAATTTCAAAAAACAGATTTAATTTCCAAAAAAACATATTATATATAGGATTATCAAATAAAAAATCATACTTCACACCGTTTCACATTATATTATATTACATTGTATTTTATATTCGCATATACTACAATTTAAGAAGAGGAGGAAGCAGAAGAACACGAAATGAGAATAAAGGGCTGACTTTTGGACCCATGGTGACTTTAACGGCGTCGGCCAGCTCTTCAACGCCCCTAAGCATCAAGGCGCGTGCTTCTACACCAAATCTAATGTCTTTAGCCGCATAGTTTCTGCTCCAACTCAACCTATTCCCAATCTGTAACATAAAACAAATATCCACGTCACAATTCCATGCTACTACAAAACAGAGAAAGCGTATTCGAATCAAAAGAGAAAAGAAAAGTATTACCAATTGGGCATTGCTCTTAGCCAACCTACACGTTGGAAAGGAGGAAATGTAATTAGAAAACAATAAAAACATTTCATTAGACATAAAAGAGATGGAGATTGTGGTAGTGGTGGTGTTTACCTAGCTTTGGAGGAAAGGGAAGAGGCAAAGCGGTACATGGTGGCGGAGGCAAAAGCAGAAGATGAAAGTTTTAGGGTTTAAGAGAAAGGTTTTAAAGAGAAAAGAGACGAAGGATCTAGAAGAAACCTGACTCACTCGATGGCTTTGGGTTTGTATGAGCAGCCAATGTTCCAAAATTAAAAATCAATTGAATATTTAAATTAAAAATCAATTAAATTTATATCACAAAATTTGATTTAATTTAAAATTATTTTTTAAAAAGTATAGAATAATGAACACTTGTACGTCCATTAATTAGTGAGATCAAATCAATAGAATGTTGGATGAATACAATTACGAAGATTGAATAAGTTAACAATTTGATATTATTTAAGTAAATATCGAGTTTAAATCTTTATATATGTAAAACGTTTTCATTGGATGCTTGATATATATGTAATTCAGATTGATCTGAAATAGTCAAGTGAAACCTTTTGAACAAGGAGAGCAATAAAAAACCATTTATAATTACCTAATTAATGTTAGGAAAATAGTGGTGAAATTAAGACAATATTTTCAAAGTTGTTTTATTCATGTGATTAGCTAATTAACCCTAAACCCAGCACCGAAGAAAAGCATTTAATTGTGGAAAACATAGCAAGACCAAACTCATTATGAGAAACAACAAAAGCACACAACATTTCTATAAAGACAACAATATTACATAACTTTGGGATTAATTTTTTTAAGATTTTTTAATGACTTGGTTAACTAAACCAACGTTTCAAACAAAGAATGGAACATACATAGTGCAGTCATTTGTGCAGAATATATAAAGCTCGACTATTCTACTGGCATAAGATTGATGAATGCTGTATTTACTGCGATATAGGTCCCCTCTGATAACATCTTTTTGTGATACAAACTCCATTGTATACGGTTTGTAGCAAGCAATGGATTTTGGCAAAATGGTTTGGGATTTAATAGTATATGAATTGAGTTTTAACGAATCAACTTTATTCATTATTGTTTGTTTATTTAAAATTATTTGTATTCATATTTATTTGTTTAATGTTCACAAATATTTTTATTTAATATATTCGTAAATACTAGGTGAAAATATAACAATAATTTTTTGAGTAAATATAATGCCAATCCTCCAACGTTTATGATAATAATATTTTAATACATTTTTTTTGAAAGCCTTTTTGTCCGCTATTTTATATATGCTACTACACGTTGTACTATCCTATATCAAGATCACATATGACAGATGTAGCATGTACGGTAAATAACCTTGTATTATATACCATAAAATAGTAAGAATAAGTTTGATTTTGGGAATAAGACTATTAAAATGTAATATTATTTTGGGAATGTTGTATTATTTTGTTTAATTTGTTTAGAAGAAATGTAAGATTATAATATTTGGTTAGAATACTATAAAATTACTTAGATGTATATTTTATCAAATTATATTTGTAATATATGTTTTTTTAAAATTAAACTTTAATATTAAATTCTAAATATTTGAATGAAAATGTATAAAATTATTTTAATTGTTACACTATCCAAGTTTAAAAAATGTATTTAACGTATAATTAATATAATTAATATATTAAATTCCTATTTTTAAATATTTTTATAAGTATCATATTTAATTATATAAAATATAATATAATATAAAAAATAATATTATGATCTCAAGTATACAAATATGTTATTTTTAATACACAAGATCTACTTTTTAATGACTCAAACTTAAATATTATTTTAAATAATTACATTTTTTTACAATAATAACATTTTTACCTCACAAAATTATAAAATGATTAAAATACAAATATTAAAAATATGAAATAATGTTAACTACTCGAATTTATTATTATTTTACTAAATTAAACTCTTTGTATATTATTATTATTATTATTAAATTTATAATTATGAGCAAAATAAAAAGAATAAGAATTGAGAAAGTTCCATATAAAAAAAAATCATTGTCTTACTAAAAATTTGGAGGTAATGACATTCTTATCATTTTAACTAAAAATGCTACTATTGGTAATAAATTATTATCTGATAAGATATTTTCCGCGAACCAAACGTGAGAATATAATTCTGAAAAAATTATTCTTCTTAATAATAGTCTTTTATGTTAACCAAACACTCCCTAAAGGTTAAAATGCTCCTCATTATTCTTCTAATAAAAATAGGGGTAAAAAGAACCAATTTTACATTTATTAAATTGACACGTCAATAATTTAAGATTAATGACTTGATTGAAACTAAATAAAAAAATTAATCACTAAATTAATATTATTATTATCTTATGTACAGCATTAAACAAATAAAGCATAGATCAGGATCATCGTTAACCACAAATCAATAAAAGTAAGAATCCATGGAGAGAGTACAAAGGCCTACCTTCTCAAATCCACGCCCCTGCCTCTTCCACAACCTCTTCTAGTAACTTACCCTCTATCTCTCTTCCCAAATCATCTTTTTCCAATTTCATTTGATCAACCCACGTTTCACTCACTACTTCTTTCTGCACCAAGTTGCTGCTGTCCCCATCATCACCCACCAAACCATATTTCACCTCACCGGAAAACAGTTCCTCCATTCGTGCCCATACTTGGTCAACCAGCATGGGAGATGCACCGTCCATGCCTTTTGTCCAGATGCAACTGTCTGGACCCGAACCTGTGATTTCTAGTAATGCTGCATTGACACAATCGAACACGAGCTTCATGTTTGATCTCCATTGTCGTCGCTTCGACTCAGGTAGAGGTTGCTTGGCATTCAAGTCGGCATATTTGTCTCACAAGGATGGGTCCAACGGGCTTTCAGGTGAATGCCATCTAAACGACTTGGCTCGCACCTCTCCGTTAAGACTGCTGGCTGATAATAGTGATTGGACTGAGAAAACCCAATCCTCTTCTTCCTTGGCACCGGGGGAAACCGTAGAGAGTTTTGTGGCTGTCTCTGAACAAGAACCACCCCATGAGAGGATGTGAGCAATTGATTCGATAGGCGGTGACTTGTCAATCAAGTTACACTTAAGTGGCACCTCCAAACCTGTATTATGAAAGGGACGATAAATTAGGACAAGAAAAAAAAAAGACAACTAATAATTTTTTCCAGTATTAATAAGTGAAGTTTACCTCGGCGTAGAGATTTAAAACTGCCAGAGGACACTTGAATTGTGTTCTCTTCCTCATCAAATGGAGCTTCTAAAACTGAGATAGGGCTCGGCTGGTCCTGATTCTCATTCATGTGGGCAGCCATTGAAGTTTTTGCTACAGACAACCCTGCCTGCAAAAAGCAACCAAAGTATTGATGATTTATGTCTAGCTCCTAGATTATATATGGGAGGAAATATTGTTGCACTTTCCATCTTGACCATCATATCAATCAAATATCAGATCAGCATAGAAAAACTAGAGCAGATTTGATGTATTTGTACAAAACAAGATGTAAACATTCAATAAATATATGAATTGCTCAGAAACTCGGGAAGTTTGAAGTACCTGGACGGAAATCATGCCTTGTTTCTGTCCCATACTAATCAAATCTGGTAAGCGAGTTTCAGAGGAACACACTTGGCTGCAACTATCATTAACACACTGAGGTGCATTATTGTTAATCTTTCTAGGATGAATTATGGGTGAGCCAGGTGTTCCAGGAGTTGCAGATGGAGATATATCAGTAGCTTGAGATCCACTAGATTTTTATTTATTTGTTTTCTTAGAGAAGAATAAGCTTGAGACTTTTCCCTTTAAAGAAGATTTCATGCTCTTTGCCTTTGTCAGTTCCTTGGAAGCTCGTTCTTTGCTATCTCCGGGATCTGAAACTTCAACTTCAAGCTTTCCAGGGGCCCAGGTTTTGACCTGAGAAGGTTCTTGGAAGAATCACTTGTACTTTCTTCTTTATTCAAAGTTATGAAGGAAGTTGATCCCTAAGTTCCTTGTTCCTTATTACTTCCCTCTTCTTCAGATTTTACCAACATTTTGGTATCAGAAACAGCAAGCATCTCACCTAATGTGCTTGATTTTCTCACGTGTCTTTGTTATAGGGAACTTTTATTTGATGTCATCAGGGCCCATCTTTCTGAAAGCCGTTTCTTTGCTTCCCTGCAGACTGAAGACTCAGTAGAACATGATGCACGGCTGAAAGACGAGGAAGAATAAGGGCTACCATACCTATTGATGTAACCCCAAGAATGTCTAGAAGTTAGTGACATTATTTCTGAATCACTGAAGTTTTCCGCAGCACACTCGTTTTCAGATCTATTAAATGAACTATCATCACCGGTATAACCATTAGAAAACACAGAAGGGAGCAACGTTTCTTCCCTCCTGTGATGCATCATATTTTCTTGCATCTCTCTAGTGATTCCCTTGGGCACTTCTCTCAGTTCTTGTACAACATCTTCAGGTTCCTCAAAAGAAACTTCACCATGCACTAACCTAGGTGATGAGAAAGAAGGACATGTGACAGTCTTAATGTCCCGAGTCTTCTCAAGGCTGGGCTTCAATACCACTATTCTAGGTGTTTGGTGAGAATATTCATCAACATTTGGACAGGAGAAAGGAGGAGAACGAACATTTTTGTTTCTATCCCACCTAGTTACTTGACCCATATGCACAGGTTTTTTGCTTCTTTCCTATTCCAGAAAGCTTCTCTTTGTCAACCATCATGGAAGGTCTAAGAACAGTGATACGCTTTGTCTCAGGAGTTGGAGACTGGAAATTGTAGATATACTGAGAAAAAGTAGAATTTGGCTCTTCCAGAAACTTAGGGAATAGCTCTCTATTGGAAATCAAAACTTCCAGTGCATCATGAAATTCCTTTGTCTGGCGAAGTTTTTCATCTGTCACCAGACTTTTAGCTTCCATAAACTTTTGATGAACTAGACCTATTCTTTTCTCAATCACGTTATCATTATAACTGCCTTTATGTGGAGAGCTGTCTCTTGTCTTAGTCGTCCTAGAGGACTGTTGCCAGATTTCATAAACATCTTTATATTTGTTCAGCTCTTGACAGAGATTTCCTTCACGTTGCATTTGCTTGGCTGAAAAGCCTTGACCTTGCTCTCAGCCTTCCATTGGTATCTCAGATTGACTCAAAGAACGCTGAAAAGGACCTTTACAATGGCACCTTTGTGCAGCTAAATTATGTTGCTGTTTTGGTATTGTGTCGAGCCCCATCAGCTTAGCAACCACATTGGGTGTTCCACTACCTTTCTTGTTTGACAAGGTTCTCCTTAACTCATTGAATCTGCACAGATAAAAAAAGTTAACACGTGTAAGGACAATAGGATATTTAATTTTATAATACATGTGGAACATACAGAGACAAGTTCTGAAAAGAATCTGTTTGCAACTTGTTTATATAATTACTAGTACAGATTAAAAAACCAGTCTTACCGCTTTATCCTCCATAGGATCTGGAAATGTGGGGTTCACCGTCCTTGTGATTGAGGATCCTGCCCACCAACCAGCTCCATGTCAAAATAGCAAGGTAAATTTATAACAAAAGCATAAGTAACTAAAAATATCAATAAGCAACATTGGATTCATTGTATACAATTTATCTAAGTAAATTTAAGGGGGAAAAGTGGTACAACTTAAAATTCCAGTGTACTAAGACCAGAAACATAGGAAACTATAGAGAGGCAGGTATATGTAGTTAAGGCAATGAACATGAACTATAACAACTGACCTCCATAATCAGAACAAAATTCAACATCTTATACCATATTATAAAGAGAAAATAACCTCAGTGACCAAAAATGCCTTATAATATACGATTTTAACCAACTTTTTTTGGATTTGCCAAAATGACCAACTAAATCGCAATGCGATCGATAATTCGCAACGCGATCTCCGGTATCGCAAATCAGTTTCCAGATTCGCAACGCGAACTTCGACTATCGCATTGCGATTTACATATTCGCATTGCGATAGTCCAAGTTCGCGTTGCGATAGTCGAAGTTCGCGTTGCGATTTATTCCAAATTCGTTGCGATTTATTCCAAATTCGTTGCGATTTATTCGAAGTTCGCGTTACGATTTATTCCAAATCCGTTGCGATTTATTCCAAATTCGTTGCGAACGGTATTGCATTTGTTTCTTAAGAATTTTCTCTAAAAAGATAGTATTCGCGCGGAGGTGTCGAAGACGCGTATTACCACGACCACAACCAAGACCCGAGACGAGACAAGACGAGACGTGACGAACGGCGGCGGCGGCGGCGCTCGAGAGTCCCCCTTGTTCTCTATCACTCAACAAGGAAGTGGGAAAGCCAAGCCTTAAATACCATTCCCAATAGTGTTTCCAATACTATGTGGGATTGAGCATTACCAACACTTGTTCCCAATACTATGTGGGATTGAGCCTTAAATAGTGATATTATTTTTGAATGTTTTGCTTAAAATTGCAATAATCGCGATTGATTGTAGATTGACTTTTAATTATGACATATTTAATCGTATAATACTAATGCAATTGGTTGCTGATTTAGTTGTTTTAAGGTGCATGATTGTTAATTGTTTCCTGAATAATCACAATTGTATTGGAAACAAGTATTGGTAATGCTCAATCCCACATAGTATTGGAAACACTATTGGGAATGGTATTTAAGGCTTGGCTTTCCCACTTCCTTGTTGAGTGATAGAGAACAAGGGGGACTCTCGTGCACCGCCGCCGCCGCCGTCTCGTCTCGTCTCGTGGTCGTGGTTGTGGTCGTGGTAATACGTCGTCCGCGCGAATACTATCTTTTTAGAGAAAATTCTTAAGAAACAAATGCAATACCACCAGTCATTGCGATAGTCCAAGTTCGCATTGCGATAGTCGAAGTTATCGTTGCGAATCTGGAAACTGATTTGCGATACCGGAGATCGCGTTGCGAATTATCGATCGTATTGCGATTTAGTTGGTCATTTTGGCAAATCCAAAAAAAATTAGTTAAAATCGTATATTATAAGGCATTTTTGATCAATGAGGTTATTTTCTCTATTATAAACTTCAAAAAAAATTTCAGAAATCTAAAGGAATATTCCGCAGTTAAATTTCACAAATATCATTTTACAAATTTCTGAGTTTTCTTCAACGAACAAGTGACAAAAAGAAATGAAAAATGCATTGCATTGAATTCAAGGGAAAAGGGAATACTAAAGTAACTAAGCAAGTGATGATCATGGGAATCTACTACCCAGACAAGTGCTCAAACTTCAAAAGCAAAACAACCAAAAACGGAAATTTAGCTTTTTAATGAAAAAAGAGATCACCACGCGGTTTATTACTAAGCAGGCTGAAGATACTAATTTTTCATCCATTTGTTATTATTATTATTTTATTTATTACTATTATTATTTTATAATTATATTATTATTATTTATTAATATTATTATTATTATTTACAGACCCAAAACTGGACCGACCCAGTTACAAAAAACCAACCCAAACCGGCCCAACTACAAACCCTAAACTCATTTAGGGTTTGTATCAATTTCTCCAGCCACCCTCAATCATCAGTCGTTGGATCTAATGGGATCCAACGGTCCCAGATGCACCAGATGAAAACCCTAGGGTATGATACCCTAGGGCAACCATGCGGCCGCCGCTGCTTCCAGAAATCATGGCCAACGCTATTGCCGACACCACTGCTTCAACCAACTACTGCCAGGTGGTCCAACGCCTACTGCCGACACGCTGCCTCACCACTGAAGATTCCAGTAGAGCCATTTGCCCCGACATCACAGCTACAAGGTGAGTCACCACATAGTTTGGTGACTCACCGAAAAATCCTCTTAGGACCAGTCCGACGAGAGCCTCATCGAGGCTATATGACCACACCTACAAAGAAAAAGCAAGCAAGATAGAGAGAACAAGAGAAAAAAAAGAAAGGAAAAGATACGAGCAACCATAGACCACCAACAACCCACAACCATAAATAAAAGAGAAAAGAGGAGGAGCTTACCATCGGAGATCTCAAACGACGACGGAAACCGAAGGTAAAACGCTCGGTTTATTGTAGATCTAGAATTATCGAGGGATTTTTAAGGGAAATAGAGGCCTTATCTGGCCTTAGGATAAGAAAAAAGTGATTTGGGGTTATTTTTCTAAATTTTGGCCACAGTGAACGGTAACCGGCGGCGGTGGTCGGTGCCGGAGTAAGGCGGCCGGTCGGTGTCTGGTTTCCCTCCGGTGAGGGAAACCTAGAGAGAGGCGATAGAGAAAATTGTTTTCTCTCTCTTAGAGAGAGAATGGGAAGGGAGAAATGAGAGAACCGGCCAAAATGGCAGGTTAAAAGGGTATAAATACCCCTCCCCGAACGGCGTCATTTTGGGAGGGATCTGTGTGTAATTTATTAAAGGTCAAACTCTGTCCGCAGTCCCTTAGTTTTGAAATTTTACATTATAGTCACTGGAATCAAATTTATAATCTTTTAATTCGGCCTCCTAATTTGTTTAATTTATAATTTAGCCCTTTACATAAAATATATATATTTTAGAGAAAAAAACCGATTTAGCCCTCTAATTTTATTAATTAATATTTTAATCCTAAAAGCATGTTTTAATT